GAAGCCTGTGTTGGCAGGGGGGACTGAGGTAGCCGGGTGGGGTGGGCCGTGTTCTTAGGGCACAGGCCAGGTGGGACTGCCTCATGTTGGCCTCTCTCCAGGGGCCCAGGGCAGGGGCTGAATGCGAAGGGGTGAGATGAGGGGTTCATGTCCCCGAGGGTAAGGCTGGGAGCACGGATGAGGGTGAAGTAAGCCAGGGCTGGGAGCCCTCCATGAACATCAGGCTTTCTCAGAGGCCTGTTTGCCAGCGAAGGGGTTGGACCAGATCATCTGGAAACTTCCTTTCACTTGGACATTCTAGAACTCTACTCCTGGGTAGAGTTTCATATTTTACAGAGAATACCAACTTTCTCCTCCCCCTTCCCCTGAGGGGCACATGTGGAAGGTGATTTCCCGGGATCTCCCTGGCCAGCCCACACCCGGGGTCCCCGCGGCTGGCCTTGAGGGAGACCTCACAGTGGTCACCAAACCTGCTCAGGCACTTGCTTGGTCTCCTCAGATACCCGGGGAGGGAGTGGAGGAGAGGAGATGGAAAAACACATTTCCCCAGTTTAAGGAGACTCAATAGGATGTAAACGTGGACATCACTCTGCTGCTTTGCTTCAGAGATAATAAAGGCCCTTAGGAGCTGGCTGCCCTGGCCCGGCCACATTCCTGCCCTTTGTGAATCTCCTGGGCACAAATTCTTTGCTTGTCTTCCTAAGCATTGAAAGGCCCAGAGAGCCCCAGGTCGCCACCACGCGCCCTCCCTGAATTCCTCTGTGGAGTGGGGACAAGTGTGAGTTGGCAGCGGAGTGCTGGGACTGGCTCTCTAGGAGCTTGTGGGGCAGGGTCTGTGGGGCAGCCACGAAGGGACCACGTACGTGGGGTGTGAGGGCTGCTGCGGAGAGGGCAGAGGGCCATGTAGGGCCAAGAGGAGGCCCAGGAGAGGAGCCGTCAGCTGTGTCTTGGGGTGGGTGGCAACCTTTGGGCTGCCCACAGTGCCGTCTTGTTAAGCTAGCTCTTGAAGGCCAAGGGGCAGGAAAGTGTAGCAGACTGGACTGGCAATGACCCAGGGGACATTTGATTGGAAAGCAGGCTGTGGGGACCAATGAGGAATGAGGTCAGGACTGTGTGAAGAGGCTGAGTCTTGTTTAGGGGACAGTGGATCAGAGAGGGTGAAAGTGGGGGTACCAGGTAGCCTCTGTGGCTGCCCACATGGAGGGGACTGGGGGTGGCCCAGGGCATTTGCGCCTGGCTGGCTCAGTTGGTAGAGCATCCGACTCTCGATCTCAGGGTCATGAGTTCAAGCCCCACGTAGGACATGGAGCCTACTTAAAAAAAAAGGGACTACCATATCATTACTCGTGCAGCCAGGTGCCCCTGATGCTGCATTTTAAATCCCAGAAAAAGTATGAGTATTTTGTACAGTCAGTATTCTTTTAGATTTCCCTGCATATTTACTCTGATGCATTTCATTCCTTCTGCAATTCAGTGCTCCCATCTGAGATCATTTTCCTTCAGTCAGAAGCACTCCCCTTAGTATTTCTTGACAGATTCCCGGATGACCAGTTTCGCCAATTTTTCTTTTTCTGGCCAAGGTTTTCTTTGAAGGCTGTTTTTTTTAAAAAAGATTTATTTTTTATTTGAGAGACAGAGAGCACGAGTGCCGGGGATGGGAAGTTGGCAGAGGGAGAGGGAGAGAGAGAATCCCAAGCAGACTTCCCACTGCGCATAGAGCCTGATGTGGGGCTCGATCTCACAACCCTGAGATCATGATCTGAACCGAAATCAAGAGTCAGACGCTTATCTGACTGAGCCACCCATGCAGCCCTCTTTGACGGCTATTTTATCTAGATTTATCATTCTGGTGTGGCATTCTAATTACTTTTGGCATTGCCCATGTATCACCCCATTGTCTTATGGTTTCTATTGTTTCTGTCGAGAAGTCAGCTGTCTGTTTTAGGTTTTCCTTTGAAGGCCAGGTGTCTATCTAATTTAAGAATTTCTCTTTGTGTTTGGTGTTGAGTAGTTTGATAATGATTTGCCTAAGTGTGCTCTTCTTTGGAGCTCCTAGTATTTCTTTAATCTGTGTGTGGCTTGGCTTGATGTTTTCCACTTATTTTGTGAAATTTTCAGTTATTATCTCTTTAAATATTGCTCCCGGGGCTCTCATTACATGTTATGTTAGCTCTTTCCACCATGTCCCATGGGTCTTTCATGTTCTTTTTCGTATTTCCCAACTTTTTTCCCTCTGTGCCTTGGTCTGGATATTTTCTGACTTAAGTTGAGGTTTGCTAACCCCCCCTTTTAGTTGTTCTAAACTGCTGTTGAACCCATTTATTGAGGTCTTGACTTTGGTTATATTTTCAGTTGTAGAATTCCCATTTAATTAATTTGTAGTTTCACATTCTCTGCTGCAGTTCTCCGTCGTGTGATACACTTTCCTGAACTTTCATTAATTTCAGTTGTTTTATATTTCATTTCTAATCATTGTACTATTTGGATCTCCTTTAAGTGTATTTCTGTTATTTATTTATTTTTTTTCTCATGGCTTTGGTAGAATCCTGGATATTGTGTATGAAAAATCCTAGGGATAATTTGGGTTCCGAATCATTTATTTTCTTCCGGAGAAAATGTATTGCAGCTTCTGGCAAGCAGTTAGCCTGCAGGTGCCCTCACCCACCCTCTCAGGACTGAGGAAGGGGCTTCCTTCCTCGAACTGATGCAAACTTCTGTCTCTTCAGCCCCATGGGTTGGCAGGAAGCTCTGCTTGGGGTCTCCGCTTTTCAGCCTCTGCGTGTAAGTAGATGCTTTAAGGGAGAAGAGGCGCCCAAGGTCAGACTCTGCCCCTCCCTCCGTGATCGCAGCCCCTCTGACCCTGCTTGCCTTGGTACTTCTCCAAGGCTAACAGTTAGATTTTTAAAAAATACATCTGTTGTCAGGTTTTTAAGCTGTTTGCAGAAGCAGGGGGTTAAACCTTGGTCCCGTGTTGAAAAGACCAGGCCCCCGAGCAGAACCCAGTGCCCCCGTGACCTGCCCTTAGAGACTCTTGCCTTTTGGCGGTGATCGGCGTGGGGGAGGGCCAGTTAATTAGGCATTAGTGAGAGGCAGTTTCTTCATTAGGTCTCACCGAGTGAAGCAGGGAGGGCTTGGACCTAGCTTGACACAGTTGGCAGACCCTCCTTGTTTACAGATGTGGAAACTGAGGCCCAGGATGGGCCAGTCCCACAGTGACCGGGACCCAGGTGTTCACGACTGCTGGGCCCGTGCTCAGCTCCAGGGGGAGCAGGGGACAGTGGGCAGCAGGGCTGCTGTGGGCACTGGGGGTGCTGGGGCCATCCCCCCCGGCTAGTGCTGCTGTTGCGCTGGCCTCTCCCTGGCCCCCTGCCATGGCCTCCCCATTCCAGCGTCTTCTGAGGCCTGGGCAGCAAGGGGCCCATGTTGCCGCGAGACCTGGGTACAGTTCCCGGCAGCCTCCCCTCTCTCCTGCCCATTGCTCAGAAAACCTTGGAGCTGGTTTCTGAGAGTGATAGGGTTTTTTTTCCCTCACTAATCCCCACAGTTTTTCTGTCCACACCCAGTTTCTCTTCCGCTTTTTTCCCCACCCTGTTGTGAACGAAAGTCAGTGCACCAAATCATGGTCTGCTTTCCCTCCCGGTGCCTCAGTGGCGTTTAGCAGCAGGCCCGAGGGAGGCATTAGCGGGTAGAGGACGGGGTGGGTGTCCCTGCTCCTTGGAGGAAGCCTGTGGGAGTGGGCAGCCGGCTTCCCACACGTAGGCCTTGCCCACACTGCCCCTCGGGGCTCTGGCAGAGAAGGGGCTGGTGGAGCTGGTGAATTCAGGGACGATTGGCCTCAGAGAGCTCCCAAACTCAGACCACTGCCACTTGCTAGGTGTGTGGCCACAGACACCTGCTGCCTCAGCCCTAGAAAAGCTGGCCGCCCAGGGGCTGGGGACTTCGGCAGCGTTTTTGCCCGGCAGAGACAGGATTCTGTAGGTGACAGACTGTGGGAGCCCTCCTGCTGGGAAAATGTGCCCTATCCTGGAGGCCCAGGATTTCTCAGGGGCCAGCAGTCCTTGAGGGGCTCCGAAGAGGGAGTGAAGAAGGAGGACCCACATCCAGGCTCCCCTGGCTGGCGGGTCAGGGACCACTTCTCCCCCAAGGATGAAACGGTCTGTCCACGGTCTCTGGCCTTTAGTAAGCAACACCCCCCGGAACTGTCATTCTGCCACCCTGTGGGGTTAGCCAGGGCCCCTCCTCCTGCGGGCAGGCTTTTGGGTGTGGGGGTCGGGGTTGGTGAGCTGCTGAGCCCGGGAGGCCCCAGCAAATGCTTGGTATGCCCAGCCCTGCCCGAGGAGACTGGCCAGGCCCAGTGTGTAATCCTGGTCGCCCGTGGCTCCTTCTCAGAGCTCTTGGGGTCCACCTGGTAGCATTTTAAAGAGCTCTTGCGGCCATGGGACTGGACTGTTCCCCTGGCTGTCCCGAGGGTCCGGCTTGTCCAGCGTGGCGCGCTGTCGTGCCCGTCCTTCACCCTTGCTGGCTGCTCCTAGCACACGCACAGCCTTGCCACCGAGAGTTGAGGTCTGCCCCGGCGGCGCCGGGCTGCAAAGGCTCTGAGGAGGAGGCCGCGCTTGGAGAACCAGTGGGTGACCACCAGTTTTCTCCTTTAGGAGAAACTCAGCCCAGGAGCTCTGGCCCTGACTCCAGGTCGGACGCTGTGGCCACCGCTGTGGGGCCTAGGACAGTGGTGCAGTCCCTCCGACCCTCAGGTCCCCTGACTGTCAGATGGAGCTCCTCCGGGAGACACGGCCAGGGAATGTTCCAGGGGCCTCCCTGGCCCCAGCTCTGGGTGAGAACCGACGGCGCTTGCCCTTGCCCTTTCACCAGGATGTCTCCAGAGAGACCGGAGGGAAGTAGAGAAGCCACAGCCCAGCTCGCGCGGCTTCCTCATGGGCTGACCTGCCAGTGTGTGAGGTGAACGAGGCCCTCCGCTCCATCTCTGTTCTCTGCTCTCGTAGGGAACTCAGGCTGCGAAACTATGTCCCCGAGGATGAGGACCTGAAGAGGAGGAGGGTGCCCCAGGCCAAGCCAGTTGCGGGTAGGTGGACCGCCTCACTCCACCTCTGCTCGGAGGCACGGACGCCTCCACCTCGGCAGGTGTCGCGCTCTCTTGGAGAGTAATCAGCCGCGCCAGGGCTGGAAGGTGGGCTTCTAGGACCCTCGGGCACCATCTCACAGCCATGCAGCAGTAACCCACGTTGAGTGACAGCAGAGGCGGTCCCGGCACCCGAGGGCCCTCCAGGGGCCTGCGAGGGAAGAGGCCGCATCCCCCTGGAGGACCTCCCTGGGCTGAGGAGTGGAAGTGGCCCTGGGGCCCTGGGACAGCAAGGGCAGGGGGAAGGGGGGGGGGAGCGTCCTGGGGGTCCGAATGAGTCCCTGAAGAGGAGCTGAGTGTTCAGGCACTCAGCGAGCTGTGGGCGGGCCGACGCCCGCCGGGCACAGAGGATGGGAGAGGCGTTCCTGTCGGGGCGAGCAGCTGGGAGCTCCTGGAGATGCTCCACACTGGGGACGCAGAGCACTTCTTACCCTGGAGACCCCTGGCCCTGTTTTTAGCCTTCATTTTTGTGATCATTTCTGAATTCTACAAATTCTAAATGAATAATCATTTATCTTGAAAATAGTAAAGTGTTACCCCTTCAGCCACACCCCAGTCTGCTTCCCTACGTTCTTCGCCCCAAGATTCACATGCTTTCCAGGTGGTTTGCTTCATGGTGTGGGCCACACTGTGGTGGGGACAGTGAGGCAGGCCAGGGGAGAGGGGTGGGGAGTGGTTCCGGGCCATGAGGCAGCACATGGCAACAGTGACGGGGTCACAGGAAGCACCTGGAGCCCAGAGTTGTTGTTAGTGCTCCTGGTCTCTGTGCCCACAGGGGCGAGGCCCTCCTGGTCTCACCACCCCGAGGCCCAGTGTCCAGTCAGGCACGGGCCGTAGCGCCTCCCCAAAGTGACTGTCCCCCTGCTCTTGGGAGCATGTATCTGAGTGGGATGGGAAGAAGAGCCACCTATGTCCCGGCCGGTCCATGGCCCAGAGGACATCCTCAGAGCCCAGGAGCCCCTGTAGAGTATGGGAAAGCCGGTCCTCGTGGTTCTTCACAAAACCATACCGTGGCAATACCCAGGTGGTGCTCCCATTTCCCAGGGGAGTGTAGCAGCCATGCGTCTGGCGGGAGGTCTGGGCTCCATCTGTTCTGGCTGTCTGCCTCCTGCAGGCTCTCCTTCGCCCCAGGATTGTTTCATCCCGGGAAACCCAAGCCCTTCCTCCTGGGCAGCCTTTGCAGAGTCTTCACCTCTGGAAGTTGGGAGCCTGGGAGAGGGGCCAAGAAAGCCCAGGGTCTCCGCGGGGACCCGCCCGCACCCTCTCCCCCTCCCCCAGGCACCCCAGGGAGAGCAGGGCTCCTTTCCGACAGGCCTGTGTTGTTGTCTTGCACCCTCTAGTGGAAGAGAAGGTGAAGGAGCAGCTGGAGGCCGCCAAGCCTGAGCCCATCATCGAGGAAGTGGTGAGCACCCTGAGTGCCCCGGGGGCCCACTGGGGGCCCTTCTCTCCTCCCCCACACTCCCTCCTCCCTCCCTCCCTTTCTCCTGCTTTCTACCTCTGTGCCCTGGACCTGGGCCCCTCCAGCCCTGACATGCATCTCCTCCCTTCCCAGGACCTGGCCAACCTCGCGCCCCGGAAGCCTGACTGGTGAGCGCTGCCACGTAGGACTAGCGTGGACTGAGTGACCACTCGTGGTGCCGGGCACGGCCCTCAGGCTGAGCCTCTCCCGCCCTCACATCAGGGAGACGGACGGTGTGGACGCGCAGCTACACGAGATAATTACTGTCCACAGTACCTCCTGACAGGACATAGAAGGACAGCGAGAGGGAAGCCTGTGGGGGGGTGACGCCTGGAGGGTGAGGAGGGGCTCAGGGAGAGCGAGGAGCAGCCATCCCCTCCAGAAGGCCCTTCTACAAGGGCGAGGCTCTGGCCCACCTCAGTTGCATTTGAGCAAGGCCAGCCTTGGCCCTCAGGGAACCACAGGATGGAAGCGAGGTGATGGGAACGGCAGACGTTGATTCCTGTCCCGGTTCTGCCACCAACTGTCCTGTTCCGCTTTGGCCTCAGTTTCCTCTTCTGTGAAGTGGGGCTAATCGTCCTTCCCCGGTGCCCCTATGACCAGGCTGATACTGAGAGTGAGAGAGGGCCGTGTGGCCTGGGGCTGGTGTTGTACTTGACCTCGGGCCAGAGGCATGGGCCCCATCCCTCTCACCTGCCATCCTGTGGTAGGCACGGCACCACTGAAGGTGTTATTTGTTGAAACAAAAGCATGGGGCATACATCCTAGGAGTCCCTGAGTAGGGGGAGTAGGCTGTGTGTGCACTTCTGGAAGTGCCTGGTGGCGAGGGGGAGCAGGACCCACAGTGGGACCAGACCAAGAGGGCGACTCTGAGAAGCCATCCACCCTTGCACACCTTGACTCAGTCCCACATTTGGTGGGTCTGCAGCACCAGTCGCTGCCTCAGCGGGATGGGGCGGGGTGGCTGATGCTGGGTTTGGGAGGGTACAGAGAGGAACGTCCTGGCCTCCTCCCCAGGGTGGTCTCCTCAGGCAGCTGAGTGTGATTTTACCTAATGCCAGAGGGGCTTTGGGAGGGGAGGGTCCCAAGGCCACACCAAGCCAGGCTTTAGCTTTTGGCCTCCTCATACCTGCCTGCTATAGGGACCTCAAGAGAGACGTAGCCAAGAAGCTGGAGAAGCTAGAAAAGCGGACCCAGAGGGCCATCGCCGAGTTGATCCGTAAGTACAGGGCCTAGCAAGGTGGGGTCCCTGCCCTCCGGGTGGTGGCTCAAGCACGGGGCCCCTCCCCACTCCTTCTGTCTGCCATCCATCCAGGTGAGAGGCTGAAAGGCCAGGAGGACAGCTTGGCCTCTGCAGTGGACGCTACCACCGAGCAAGAGGCCTGCGACTCCGACTGAGGCACGCCGTATCCCAGGCCTGGCCTGTGGGTGGGTAGCCTTGGGTAGGGGCGGGGGCTGGGCTTGCTGTTACCGCCAGTTTGGCTCCAGAGCCACATTGCCTCATCAGTCCGAAACCCTTGCCATGGGGTGAGGTCAGCTCCTTGTTTCCTAAGTGGTCCCCAGCAGACTGAGACGGGCAGAGCCAGTAGCAACCGTGTGGGCTTGCTGTTTGTACATATGTATGTATTTGGAACTTTCTTTTATCTCTAGAAATAGAAGCAAGCAGACCCACGTGCGTGGCAGAAACCTATTAAATATTTTCTCGGTCCTTGGGGCGCTGTGGGTTTGGGCCCCAAGGAGTAAGCCCTGTGTGGGGCCAGGCATGTCGAGGCTGGAGGGGTGCAGAAGGCCCAGGCCCGACCTTTTGAGGCCAGGTCCTGGTCCAGTCAGGCGGTCATGTCAAAACCTGTGGGTGACAGAGTCTGAGAGGCTTTTCTAAGCCCTCCCATGGGCCCGGACCTTGCAGGAGTGTCTGGTCAGCCTGGAGAGGCTCCCAGCCTGGTCCTCTGTAGATCCCCTCACAGTGTGAGAGAGAGAAGGGAGAGGCTGGGCGTGAGGAGCGGGTGAGCTGTGCCCTGACAAGCCTCCATTCCGGGCCACTCCAGATCCAAGGCTCCTGGCGCTGTTGTGCCTCATTCTCACAACCCCCAGTGGCCCCCCGTCCCTACGTCCAAGTCGGAGCTAGACCGTGGCTTCCCTGGGACAGGGCCCCTGCATTGGGGAGGGTGGCTCCTTAGGATATTATAGCCTGGGTTTGGGGTGTGGTCTTGGGCCCTGGCTCCCCAAGGTCCTGGCATTAGGACCATGAGCCTCCTCTGTGGGGCTGACTCTCCAGAGTGACTGACTGGCCACAGTTCTGACTCCAGGTCCCTGTGGCCAACTAGAATTTCATCTCCAAAGTGATAACACGCTTGAGTTGCCTTCAGGGTCTCCCCTTGAGTCTCCCACCTCCACCCTGTGTCATCCCAGTGCGCCCTTCCCTCTGTGCTGAGTTGGAGGAACACATTGGCCTGACTCTGGCGGACGGTGCCGAGGACCCGGGCCGGAGGGCTGGAGCGGCTGTGTGCGACAGCAAATGCTTTCAGGTGGAAGTACGCGGCTACCCTGAGAAGGTGACTGGTGCAGGAAGGGAGCAGGCATGACTGAGGGCCAAAGCGGTAGGTGGCTGGCTGAGCAGCGGTCAGGCCCAGGACTCTGGTTCCCACGCGAGCAGGGGTCACACATGCCCACGGGCGGCAAGGCCGGAGCCAGACTCCCTCTGCATCGTAGCGTCTGGGACTGGCCTTCCCTTCCTGGGAATAAAGGACGAGAAGGTGCCCCCTGCCCTGGGACTGCCGTAGGAAGCAGGGTGCTCGTCCGTGGCAGTGCAGGCCTCAGACACCCGGCAAGGTTCCCACTCCGCACCGGCGCTGGGGCTAGCTTGCGGCCGGCCCCACAGAACGGGAGCCCCGAGAGCTGAGGAAAGGTTTGCTTCCTGCGTTGACAGCTCCGTGTGCCAACAGAAAACCGCCGTGCGGGGAGAGAGCAAAACCAACAGCATCACTCACAATGGGCACACGAACAAAAGTTACAAAATATATGAGGAGATCCGTGCCTTGAAGAAGGGCTCCCACCCCACCAGGTGGAAGAATTGATACCCAAGGAAACTGAAACTGTGACATCCTACCAGGCTTTAAAATGAGCCTTTGTTTTCTCACCAGAGAAGTAAAAGAGGCATTGAGCCCCATAACTCAGGAACGGGGATTAGGTATGAGGAAGACCTGGTTAGTAATCTTGGAAACAAAGAATGTTTATTAAAATAAGAACACGCACACACAGAACATAAGCAGCTCCCTTGAGGAGCTAAATACTAACAGTCAAAGAAGGGATTGATCAATTGGAAGTTAAAGCTGACGCCCCAAAAGACGGCAGAGAGAGAAGGTAGGTCGCAAAGCTGACAGACTGCCAGGTGTCCTTGAGCGGATGGGAGATCAGGAAAAGAAAACTGGAGAAAGAAGGAATGGCTGACCACTTCTGTCTCTGGTATCATGGGGCCACAGCAGCTTGAACTGATCCTCCCTTGGCAAATAGCTAAAAATACTAACAACAAATACTCACTGACCAGGCAAGAAAGTAAGGAACACTTAAGCAGAAGGTAGGAGAAGCAGCAGAATGCTGAAGCCTGACCTTTGACTTGAAGGTATTTGACAAACGAGGTGAAACTGAGCATTGGTTTTTGGGGTCCTCAGTGCCTGGGACTAAGATAACCCAGTACCCGTGCATGATGAGGGGCCTGGTACGAGAGCCCTCCAGAAGGCTGGGGCTGCAAAGGTCAGGGCCCTCTGTGAACTAATAATAGATCTGCTCCCTTGGCATCACAGAGAAAAACTGAACCTTGCCATTGACTGGAGTGAAGGAAGGTCTTGCACATGAGAAACCTCAAGCCAGGAGTATATGTGGTCATCATCACCAGAAAGGGGTGGTCTCAGATGCTTGATAGAAATGCAGATCCTAGGGGTGCCTGGGTGGCTCAGTTGGTTAAGTGACTGCCTTCGGCTCAGGTCATGATCTTAGGGTCCTGGGATTGAGCCCCGTATCGGACTCTGTGCTCAGCGGGGAGCCTGCTTCTTCCTCTGCCTCTGCCCCTCCCCCTGGGTGTGCTCTCCTGCTCTCTCTGTCAAATAAAGAAAATCTTAAAAAAAAAAAATGCAGATCCTACCTGAATGAACCTCGATTCATCACAGTCCTCGATGAAGCCCCATTGATAAAGTTCCAAGAAAAGTGAGCAGCTTCTGGGAAAGGTTACCAGATCTACGAGGCAGCAAGGCACCAAGAGCAAAGGACATTGGCAGGGACACGGTAGACTTACAAAGGATTCATACATTAGGATTGATTACCAGGCACATGATTTAAATGTTGAAAAATGATGTAAGAACTAAAAGGCTTGAAAACAGGAATCGACTTGCCAAAAAAACCCAAAGTGATGTTCTGGAAATAACTATCATAGTAGTTAGAAGCCCTGGATCTGTGAATTAGAGCTAAAGAAACAGTTCATGAATGTGAAGCTAGGCCCGAAGAGGTTCTCCAGAATGCAGCCCAGCAAGATAAACAGACCGATAACCTAAAACAAGAAGCTTTAGAGATACAGAGGATAGTGAGAAGAGCCAACATAACGTGATTGGAGTTCCAGGAAGGAAAAAAGGCAAAAATGAAGCGGACCTAATACATTTTTTTTAATGGTTGGGAGCAGCTCTTCAGAATCACCAATCCACAGATTCAAGGAGGTCAGCAAATCTCAAGCAAGGCAACAAAAAGAAATCAACCTCAGATGTTCCATCTCTTGGTATGGATGGTGATTAGTTAGGTATATGCAGTTTTTGACTGTTCATTGACCCCCATACATCTGACGTGTACACTTTTTGTATGTTTATTACACCTCAATAAGCAAGTTCACTTTAAACTTTTTTATATCTTGCCTTAATCGTCAATTACTGTATTCACATTTCATACAACACTCAGTGGCTTGAAACAGACCTTTAATATCAGACCGTTTCTGTGGGTCAGGGATGCAGGTGTGGCTTACCTGGGCAGTTCTAGTTTGGGGTCTCTGAGATTGCAGATGTCCCCTAGGGCTGCAGTCATCTGAAGGCTTGGCCGGGGCTGGAAGATGTGCTTCTGGGATGCCTTACGCCCCCGAAAAGACTCATGGAAGCACGGCGTGTGCACAGTCCTTGCCACGTGACTCTCTCCATAAGGCTTGCGTGAGAGTGTGTGTGTGTGTGTGTGCGCGTGCACGTGGGCGCATGCTGTGGCAGCTGGCTTTCCCCAGAATGAGCGATCCAAGACAGAAGGCAGGGGGAAGCTTTAGAGCCTTTTATGACCTGGGCATGGAAGTGATATTCTGCCACGTTATATTGTTAGAAGCAAGTCACAACGTCCAGGCTACGTTCAAGGGAGAATTAGGTTCTACCTCTGGAAGGGAGGTCTAAGAATTTGTCGGTGTTATTTTAAAACCACCGCATACCTAGACAATTAAGTGCAATAAGTTGGCAGAAAAAGAGCAAGAAAAGATGTTAAAATTAGAAAAGATACATTACTTTTTAAGGAGCAAGACAGCAGATGTCTCAGCCATAGCGAGTGTTAACTGGAACAATCCCTTCTGGTACCAGTGTTAACTAGACGAGAGGAAATTGTCAACTTAAAATTCTATACCCAGAGAAAATATCTTACAAGATATTTTTAGACAAGCAAACTCAGAGATTTTGTCACCAGCAGACTCACATGAAAAGAAAGTCTATTTTGGGGTAATGAAAATATTCTACAGTGGATGGTGGTGGTGGTTGCACAAATCTATGAATATGCTAAAAAGCCGTTGAATTGTACACTTGCAAAGTGTATGAGATGTAGGTTATATCTCAATAAAGCTGTTTTTAAAAAAAATGAAATAAGCCTTCTCCTTTAAAAAAGGAAAAAGCTCTATGTCTTAATATTGGAATGAGACATGATTCCAGATGGAGAATCCGAGATACAAGTAGGAATGAAGAGAAAGAAAGTGAAATATAAATAGGTATTGACCTTATGAAATGAAAACGTTCTGTGGAGTAAAAGACTAGGGCTACTAGAGTATGGAACAATAGTAGTAGTTACGCAGTCTTGCCCGAGGTGAGACGTGGTTGGGATTGTAGCCCTCTACGAAGCTCAGCTCACTCGGGAAGAGAAAAGACTCAGTCTAGACTCTAGACTGCTCCACAGGCAGGCGGACATTTCTAGGGTAGCCCTAACAGAATAGAAACAGTGTACCACTTCCAAAGCAGTTAAAAAAAAAAATGAACAGGGGCACCTGGGTGGCTCAGTTGGTTAAGTGACTGCCTTCGGCTCAGGTCATGATCCTGGAGTCCCGGGATCGAGTCCCACATCGGGCTCCCTGCTCAGCGGGGGGTCTGCTTCTCCCTCTGACCCGCTTCCCTCTCGTGCTCTCTGTCTCTCATTCTCTCTCTCAAATAAATAAATAAAATCTTTAAAAAAAAAAATGAACAAAAAATTATCCAAAAGAAGGTAGAGGAAAAAAAGGTAAGACAAGTAAATGAATCCAAATACATCATTAATTACAATCAGCGTATTAAACCACCTTTTTTTTTTTAAAACTCAGTCTGATGCTATTTTTAAAAGAAGCCTAAACTCAAAGAAAGATTGCAAGTAAAGGGATTAGAGAAGCTCTACGAAGAGATGCGTGGGTGGCTCAGTCAGTTAAGCGTCTGCCTTCGGGTGCTGGGATCGAGTCCCGTGTCGGGCTACCTGCTCAGTGGGGAGCCTGCTTCTCTCTCTGCCTCTGCTGTTCCCCCTGCTCGTGCTCGCTCTCAAATACATAAGTAAATAAAATCTGAACAGAAAAAGGAAAGCTCTGTGAAGCTCAGAACCAACAAAGGAAGCCGAAGTGGCTGGGGTAACGTCAGACGGGGAGACTTTGGGCTGGAAGTGTGATTAGCTACATGGTGTGCCCGCAGCCCCGGGGTGTCACCTGCCGCACATGGAAATGCTAAGTGGTGCGACCACTTTGGAGAATTGGACTACGTGCACACGCCATGACCAGCAATTCCGCCAATAGTGTCCAAGGGAACTGTTGCACAGTGTACCAGGGACTGGGACCGGGACCGGGGTGCTTTTAGGAGCGTGGTTCATTAACAGCACACGTGCACGCACTGCTCGTGCACTTGCATGCACACACACTAAAACACGGAAGAAAGGGAGTATGAGCCATTTGTGTGAAGTTCCAAACGGGCAGAGTGGAACAGGGTACTCTCTAAGGGTCGGCACATGGATGGTAGAGACGGTGCAGACAAGCAAGGTGATGGCCCTCAGCATCAGGCTTGCTTGCAGTCAGCTCAGGGAAGGGGCCTTTTGAGGTACTGATAATGTTCTTTAAAAGCTTCGCTTGACTGGCGGGAATACCTTTTATTCTCTGTCCATTCATTTTATACACTTTTTTGGTATATATGCTATCTCTCACATGCATTCTTTTTTTAAAGATTTTGTTTATTTGACAGAGAGAGAGCCCAAGCAGGGGGAGCAGCAGAGGGAGAAGCAGGCTCCCCACGGAGCAGGGAGCCCAATGCAGAACTCGAAGCGGGGCTCAATGCCAGGACCCTGGGATCATGACCTGAGCCGAAGGCAGACGCTTAACCGACTGAGCCACCCAGGCGCCCCTCACACGCATACATCTTTAAGGAGAGAAATCTCCAGCATTCACAACCTAAATTACTCGGGAAGTGTGAAGTGGGATTTTTTTAAACGGCCACATCTGCAGTTTTGCTACAGTGGTCCGGGTTAGAACAGTGAGGGTGAAGAGAAAAACCGTTCAAGCTACGTGGGAAAAATACCAACAACCGATGAATGAATGAGTTCCATTTTCATCAGTAGTAAACACTGCCAAGACAGGTTTTTTCCCGAGTGCTTAGGAAACAGAAATGTCAGTCTTCTTGCTTATCGTCCATCATCAGGGCCAGACGTTTTTGGGCTTCTGATACCAAGTGTTGACTGTGCACAGATCTTTGCCGGAGGAACTAGTAGGGAAAGCTCCCGAGCAAGAGGAGCCGTGGTGGGAGCCCGGAGAGGGGTGGGAGAATCAGGGCTTCATTTGGCAGGATCTCAGACCAGGAGGGCTTTATTCTTGTGTGAAGTCCATGGCCACACAGTGGCTTGAAGGACACAGGTCCCTTTGGTCTCCCCAGCTGCTGTGCTTAGCTCCCCTAGGAGCCTGCGCACCCCCAGGTGGGAGCTGTCGGCACGAGGGGGAAGGGCAAGGGGCAAGCCAGCTGAGGGAACAGTGACTTCAAGCCCAGTCAGCCCCCCAGGCTCGCCGTCACATCTGAGCAGCCATGACTGTGTCACATCCAGCCCTCGCTGCAGACGTGTGGGGAGCAAGGGTATTTTGAGCTGGGCACACTGCCACCGTGCTTGAAGTTGAGGTTCCACGAGAAAGGAAGAAGGGTCGAAAAGAGTCCTGGGAAGGCAGCCAGCAGGATGCAGGAAGAAGCGGTGAGCAAAGAAACGGGTAAACATTGCAAAAATCAATAATTGACTAACCTCTAACAGGACTGACAAGGACACAAGTTACGAATATTAGGAATGCAGTAAGGCAAACCTGGCGACCCCACAGACCTCAGAAGGACAATAAGGGGATACTGTAGATATCCACATCAATTTGAAAAGTTGATGAAATGGTCCAGTTCCTTGAAAAGCACGAACTACCACCATTCACCCAAGATGAAATAGGTAACTTGCATAGCCATAACTACTAAGGATATTGAATTCGTGATTTTAAAAGTTTATTATTTATTAAAGTCCTCTCCACACCCAGTGTGGGGCTGGAACTCACGACCCCAAGATGAAGAGTCATGCTCTGCTGAGTCAGCCAGGCACCCCTTGAATTCATGATTTTAAGCCCCCTGTGATCCAGGTGGGGGGGGATGTTGGTGGAGAGGTAGACACATAGATCAATGGAAAAGAGTAGGGAACTCAAGTTGCCCCAAACAAGTACGGCCAACTCATTTTTGACAAAGGTGCAGAACGAGCTCACGGGAGGCAGGATAGGCTTCAGCAGATGGTGCTGGAGTGATTGGATATCCATAGGCCAAAAAAAGAACCCCCAACCTAAAGCCCAGCCAGACAATATACAGAAATTAAAGTGGGTCATAGGTGTAAATGTGAAGTGTAAAACTATAAAAACTTTTAGGAGAAAATCTTCAGGACCTAGAACTTGGTGACGAGTTCTTGAACACAAGACCCAGAAGCACATCCATAAAGAAAAAAAATAAATTTGACTTAACCAAAATAAAAAGCTTTTCTCCAACAAAAACTCTATTAAGAAAATGAAAAGTTACAGACTAAATTGCAAACCCCATATCTGATAAAGGACTCAAATCTAGGATATATAAAGAACTTTCACAACAGAAGGAAGGAGGGAGGGAGGGAGGAAGGAAGGAAGGAAGGACGAACGGAAGGACCCAATTGGAAAATGGGCAAGAGAAACATTTCACAGAACAGGGTATATAAATGGCAAATAAACACATGAGAGATGTTCAGCATCAGCATCACTGGCCGTTACGGAAATGCAAATAAAGACCATGATAAGACATCATTACACACCTATTAGGACAGCTTAAGTAAAAAATACCAAATGCTGGCAAGGATGTAGAGAAGCTGAATCTCTAGTACATTGTTGGTGGGACTGTCAATGATATAGTTATTCTGGAAAATAGTTTGGCAGTTTCTTAGGAAACCAGCATACGCTTACCGTATAACCCAGCAACCACACCCCTCCTGGGCATTTATTCCAGAGAAATAAAGACTGTCTACACAAATGTTCATAACCGCTTTCTTTATGATCACTAAAAGCTAGGAAAAAACAATGTCCTATGTGTTACTGCTTATTGAATGCTAGATAATTTGCATTTCTTGTCCAGGATACGTCAGTTAAAACAAAAGAGCCCCCATCTCTAGTTCAGTGGAGGCTTCCAAGTCATTATCAGATGAAAACCATGGTCTTCATATAATTTCCCATCCTTCATTTTGGAATTAAAATATTACACAAAAATGGGTGAAATAAGTATGGTAATAAATTTCTGACATACGGGAAACAGTGTACGAGGGCATTCCTTCGGTTGGTCCTGTACTTTAGGGAGTAATGGAGTGGAAAAATAAGTTTTTATTCTGTGAAGAAACAGACCAACCACGAAATGTCCTTCAATAGGTGCCCCGTTAAACCGCTGCATCTGTACCGTGGAATACTACTCAGCAATAAAAAGGAACACAACCGTTGATTAAAGCGGATAGCTTGGGTGAAGCTCAGGGGCATTACACTGAGTGAAGCAGACACATACATAACTTTATATATAAAGATCACGTCCCGTACAATTCCCTATCTGTAATATCCTTGAAATGGCAAAATCCTAGACCCGGGGAACAGATCCATGGGTGCAGGGGTTAGGAATGGTAGGGGCAAGTGTGACTATGTATAAAGGGGTAGCTGAGGGAGCTCTTGGAGGGGATAGAATAGTTCTTGGTTGCATTGGTGATGACACAAATCTGTGTATGTGATAAACTGGGAGCGGGCTGTGCACACATTGTGCCGACGTCAGGATCCTGGGTTTGATACTCTGCCGTTTAGGAAGGGGCAGCCGTCGGAGGAGGCTGGGTGAGTGGGACACAGGACTGCTCTGTATTACCTTTTTAACTGCCTCTGAATCTATATTTATTTCAAAATAAAAAGTTTTGAGATGTTTTCAGCAGTGAACAAAGAATGGTAAAACATGGTAATAAATTGTGTATTTAAAAAAAGTATTTTAAAAATAAGACACAGTAAGTTTTCTAGAGTCCTGTGACATCAGATTTTCAGCGTTGGTCACAGCAAGTCTTGGCCTTGGTTGCAGGGGCAGGGTGTGGGCTCTCAGGCCCCAGCAGCCCCCTTGTCACAGGGCTGAGGGAATGAGCAAGGACCAGTGCCCACCTCTGTGGTTGGAGGAAGCCTTCATGTGCCCATTGCTCCCCAGCTCACCAGGCACTTCTCCAGGACAGCCCCGACTGACCTCCCAACACTTCAGGTCCCTCCTGCTTGAAATCCTTGGGGACATCTGGCCTCCGGGTCATCTCTGGAGAGGTGTCAGGCCTGGGTTGTTCAGCAACAGCCCTTCCCCAGCAGAGGACAGGAGGACAGGACCTGCTGGCCCAGAGACCAAGGCTTGGTGCCTTTGGGTAAAGGGTGCAGCAAGAGGGCCGGGAGGAAGTTGTACCTGGGATCGCGGGGATAGGCCCCCAGGGGCTGGTACAGGGCCTGTACCACGGTGAGGAACAGCAGGCTTGGGGTCAGAGAGAGTGCACAGCCCCTAAAGTTACAAGGCGAAATTCTGTCTAGCCCAGCAGGCTGCAGTCAAGAGTTTGAAGGCACCCAGTTTGGGCAAGTCTAGTCCCCTGGAGTCTGCCTATCCTCCCAGCCAAGTCCCTTGTTGGGGTGCATGCTTCTGCTCACCACCTTTGGGGCTCTAGTGTGAGATGCCTGCTCACCTGCATTCAGGGGCCCCTCTGTGGAGCTCTGAGCCATGTCCAGGGTTAGCTGCAAGCTTGCCCACCCCTATAAGAGCTGGGGATTCAGATCTGCTCCCTGAGCACCTACCTCGCGCGGGGCACCGCACTAGGGGCTGATGATGCGGCTGTGAATCCGATGATCTCCTGCCCTCCCGGAGCTGACCTCCCGGTGGTGGGAGGCGAGCCCCTCCCTCAGACCAGCCTGGAAGACCTCGCTTCCCCTAGAGCCGTCTGGCTGGGCATTACAGTGGGTCATCGTGAGTGCTGGGACCTGGGGCCTCAAGGGCCCTGCGAGTCCACCCAGCCTGGAGACTGCATGGACAAGGCTCGGGCAGCCTCATTTCCCCACTTCTGCCTATGGCCACTGGGGGGCAGCAGAAGACACCGACCCGGGGCCCCTGGAAGGGAGTGTGGGTCGGCGCAGCCCGTTTTCCCGCCGCTCAAGTGGGTCTTCCGTAATGCGCATCACCCCACCAGAGAAAGCGGTCTCCTTCCCCATGGGGCCTGTGTCATTTAGGCGGCTGATATGAAAGATGATCCCGAGTGGCGCTCCGTCGGCGTGAAACCCAGAACAGTGGGGGCCGTGTCCTAGGAGAGCTGCGGCACCTCCTGCCCCCCCCCCCCCCCCCCCCGCTGGCCTTACTCAGGTTCCAGGCACCAGGCCCTCCACTCTGGGGGCAGCACCAGCCCTGTCCAGTCACAGGCAGCCTCAGGCCTCCTGTGGGAGGGTCTGCACCTGTGGGAGGCATCTGTGGACAGAATACCCAGGGATGTGGACCCTCTGTCGTCTGCCTGGGACGGTCAGGGCCCCTTAGCCCCTAAGCCAGACCTCACGTGGCATCCTCGGAGCCTGTCCTGAGCACCTCTTGTTGGAGCCAAGCTCCCAAGATGCCTGTTGTCCCAGGGGCCATCCAGGTGGCATAGGGGGGCTCACCCCCCTTGATGGGCCTGGATGGGTATCAGTGGGCGTTCCGCATGAGCGCGCATGCCGGGTCCTAAGGCTGCTTCCCTCCCTGGCTCAGGCCTGGCCTCAGGGCCTCTGGCGGCCGTGGGCTGGGCAGGGGTGGCCAAGCAGAGTTTCCCGGCCAGCCTGCCCCTTCTCTATGTATTTACTGGTTTTCCCTAAATGTTCCCATTACTCAGGCCTCTGGTCGGCACTGAGACAGAAATAAATCCCACAAGGCAGCCCAGCCAGAAGCCGGGAATCCAATTCCCCATCAAAGGCCGGAAGAGGCGCCTGCGCAGAGCGTGCCAGACCACAGTGGCCCACACACCCCACATGGCCACAAATACGGCCACGCACACCCCCACGCGCACACACGTGTGCCCGCACGCACTCTCACACGCACACCCCTGCACGCACAGTGCCTCCCACCCACCCCTGCGCGTGCAGGCCCCCACATGTCCCCCCTGCACTCAGATGTGCCTCGTGCACGCACGTGCGATCACAAGTACGCACCCCCCAGCGCAGACTCAGTTGGTGCCCACGCTCCCTGACAGCTCGGCTTACACGCAGTTGTGACCACACACTCCGGGGTCACAAACTCAGTCATCCTCAACGCGCTGGTAGGCGAGACGAGCGGTGAGGGGGCAGGCGGCTGGGCAGCCCCCGTGAGCTCTGGAGAAGAGTAGCCTCATGGGAACACGGGCCAGGGCTGCCAGGGCTTCTGAATTTTTAAGAGAAACTGGAAAGCTGAGTTTTTATGTGAAATATCCTGATTTTTAAATGTTGGCTCAAGATGTTGAAAATACTGTGAGGGCCAAACCAAACACGTCCCCGGGCCAAATTCCACCCACAGGCGGCGTTCTCAGACCACAGGTCCACATAGACACACACACACACACACACACAAATAGACACACACGTATACACAGACACACATGCAAACAAATACAAACAGGCACACCGATACACAATACAGTCACACAGGTAGACACGTGCAAATGGACATCCACGTCCATATACACGTACACACAGACACAGGTACGTGATCGGGTAGATCCACTGACTGACACAGTCAGACGGACACAACAGCCACATATATGAACAGACACACACATATACATACATAAATACAAATAAATAGACACCAGTATACATACGCTAATACAAATAGACACACCCAGCAGCCCCACACGCATCCCTTTGTCTCACTGATGTGGGTGAGCTTGGTGGGGGAGCAGAGCCTGCCCGTGTGGCCTCTGGGTGGTTCACATCAAGGCCGTCCCCTGACTGATACGTGCTGGGGAGAGGGTTCCCAGGAGAGGGTCTCCAGCCGAGGGGACCGCGAGGAGCAGGGGCAAGGCCTCGGGAGCTGAAGAGTTTGCAGCCAGAGGTCCTGGAGCTCTGGGAAGGGAGCGTGGGGTGGCCACAGGCCTGCCCTGCCCTGCCCTGCCCTGCCCCCCATCCTCCAGCCGGGCCTTGTCCCCTCCTCCTCCCCATTGGGAAACAAAGCCAGCAGGACCCCATGGGGGCTGCTCATCTGCAGAGCTCCCCACAGCCCCCACCCCAGTGTTTCCGTCTGAGAAATGTGATCGGAAGCCTTTAGGGGAATTGAAACCTCTCTATGTCCCCTAAAACTGCTGGGGGTGGGGGGAAGGGGGCCTAAACAGTAGGCGCATAATTAATGCAGCCGCCTTCCTTCCCCTCACCCACAGATTTGGAAAGCCGAGGCCAAAATGGAAGGCTGGAATCTGGTCTTCTGCCTCTTCTGCCTCCCAGACCCTGGCCCCTCTACTCCATCCCCAGCCCTTGGACGGGGAGGAGCGCAGAATCCACGCCCACCACCTCTCGGCCCCCACAGCCTGCATGACTGTGACACTGAAGGAGGAGGGAACCTGTCACTGGGGATGTCCTGGCCTTGTGTCCTAGGGGCCCACTAAGGAGCAGGATGCTGTGTGCTGAGCCCACACAGGCCAGGAGACCTGGACAAGGGCCTGACCTCAGAGGAGAAGCTGAGGCTCAGAGAGGGAAGGCAGCTTGCCCAGGATCACACAGCACACCCGGGAGCCAGCCAGGGTCCAGGCCCCTGCCTGGCTCTGGAGTCCCCTCCTCTGCCCAAGAGGAGGCTCTTCTGCCCCAGCCAGGGCTTGTTGCCGTTGGCCATGGGAACCTCAGGCTGGGATCATTCTGGAATTGGCTGAGGAGGCATGAGGGTCAAGCAGCTGGGCCCACCCCAGTCCATGTGCAGGAGTTGCGCAGCAAGCCCCACGGCTCCTGACCGACCCCTCTGATGGACCCCATCCCCCGACCCCGGCCAGACCTCTTCTAACAACCAAGGCAGAGCCTGGACCCTCTCAGGCCCCTAGGGCAGGGTCATGTCCCTTCTGAACTTCCAGAGAACTCAGTCTCCTTTCCCCTGTGTCTGTGCTGTTCCCTCCCACCTCCCTAGGGTGAGGGCAGAAGGGTGAGGCTGTCACAGCCTGCCCACTCTGGGTGGGCGTGCGGGGCCCAGCTGCATCTTTGTTCTCAACAGGCTTGCAGGTTGAGGGTGGACAGAGCCATCTGATGCCCCTTGCCCCTTGGAGGCCCCATTCTGAGCTGGGATCTATGATCTCACCCAGCCTTGGGGCCTGGCCTTGGGTTCCAGAGGCCCCCAGCGGGAGGTACATTCCTTCCAAGGGTTTTCAGAGGTTCCTCTCCCAGTCAGAGCTGAGGGAAGACCGGTCAGAGAGGGCAGGGCCTGTTCACATGCCCAAGACAGGTGGGAGCTGAGGCCCGCCTTACTGGCCCCACTTGGAGTGCAGGGCAGCCCATGAGGTGCCAGACACCCTGGCCAAGGAGGCTGAGGAGCTGGGGTCTCTCGGTGCCCTCCTCCCTGCCTGCCTACGCTCAGCTCGGCTGGTGTTTACGTGTTCCCTGCGGCTTGGCTGGGCTGGGAGGCCTTGAAGGGAGAAGTGACCACCTGGCTCCAGCTCCTGCTCAAGCAAACAAGGTCCTGACTGCCTGCCAGGCCCATTGAGGGCTCCCACTTCCTCTGCCAACACCTGGATGGCCCAGGCGCTGCTCAGGGGCCTCTCTGAGCGGGAAGGCCGGCCCTGACCTAGGGCTCCAGGTCGAAGGGAGGAGGGCCCTGGCCTAGGGCCTTGGACTGGTGTAAGGTCCAGTCCTGTCCTGGACATCCCAGAAATGGTTCCCAGTCTAAAGGGGGAGGCCTGGCCCTGTCCTGGGGCGTATCCAGTCTGAGGGGTGAGCACACT